GGTAAATACATCATGAGAGTGAAGAAGAGCTTAAAGTCCAAACTCAGTGGAGGGAATACCATCAAGGCAATTAACACCTGGGCAATTCCAGTCATTAGATGCACAGCTACAGACAGCAACAGACAGCAAATGCCACCTCTGCAAAGAAGCTGAAGAAACAATGGATCGCCTAGTTAGCTGCTGCAAGATCGCAAGACTGGCTACAAACAGTGTGACATGACAAAGTAGCAACCATGGTGCATTGGAATCTCTGCAAGAAATACCATCTGCCTACAAGCAAGAACTGGTGGGACCACTAAAACAGACAAAGTAATAGGAAATGAAGAAGCAAAAGTGCTCTGGGACTTTAGAATTCAAACAGACAAGCCCCTGCCACACAACACCCCAGACTTAACAATTGTTGATAAGAAAGACAAAAAAAGTCTGGATAGTGGGCACTGGAGACAGCAGAATAGAAGAGAAAGAATTAGAGAAAATCACAAAATACAAAGAGCAGCAAATAGAAGCAGAAGCAGAACCCTAATCCTAACCCAAAAGAAAGCAAAGAGAGTCCCAATAGTCATAGGCACCTTGGGTGCAACCCAAAACATCTGGAGCACCACTTGACCACCCTCAGCCTTGATAAAATCAGCATCAGTCAATTGCGAAAGGCAGCTTTACTTGGAACAGCTTCCATCCTGCGACGATCCCTTTAACCCCATCACACAACCACATCTGCCTATCCCAGGTCCTTGGGAAGGACTCCATAGGTGGACCAAAATGCCAAACCCAGTCTAAACCTCTGGCGGACTGAGTGACCAACACTAATATATAGGATGAACCCTGGGATGCTTTTATCAATGGGTATTTCAGGTCAGTGATTGGTCCTGAGCCTGTGTGGCCGGCAGGGGGCAGCAGAGGATCCTGCTGCAAAGATTCGGGCTCAGCTGGGTGAGCCGGAAGGAAGGACAAGGCTGCCGAGGGAGACCGTAGACTTTAAGTGCAGAAGACGCCGCCACTTGTTTGCTTCATGGCTTTCAAGGCCGTTTTTTGCTTCTTTCCCGGGGAAGACAACGTTGTCCGTGGACTCAGTGGAGGGATTCCAGATTTAAAGCGATGGCGCTGAGGCTGCAGTTCAGAAAATGAGCGCTGGAAGAAGCCAGGTGCGCGGCCTTCTTCTTTTGAACGCAATTCTCATTGTCTGTGCAAACCTCCCTAGGGAAAAAAAAGGGGGCACGTGAACATTTAAGTGGGTTTCACGTCTGCTTGCAGAACTGGCTGCGGCGGAGGGCGTTACAAGGTTACAACCTTGGCGACTGGTCAAGAGTGCCTTAAAAAAAAAAGATTTGGAGAATTCAAAGTAGCCCGTTCAGTCTCTGGGCCTTGCAAAATTGGCAGTGGACTCCCCTGCAGAATTGGGGTAAGTTTCTCTGTTTTGTAATATTTAGAGAATGACAACACGGGGAGATCCTGCAGAGGGATCCGTTGCGTGATCTCCAAACTGGAAGCAGAGCTGAAGATACTTCGGTTATCTTGCAAAATTGGGACAACTCTCTCCTGTGCGATCTGGCCTATGGATTACTTTGCAAGCGCAACAGAACGGTTTGGGGATTATTTGGGGGGGGGGGGGATATCCGTTGCCGGCATCCATATATGCATTTATCCTTGCCGTGTTCCGGGCCTCCGAATCGGATCAGATGGGGTCCAACGGAGCTGGCACCGTTTGTATAAAATATTCAGCACAAAACATGTGAACGACTCACGTCTTGGAAGGGTCGCCGGGGTGGGGGGAGACTGTTGGGGCCCACTGTCACGTCTATTAAAATTCTTGAGCAGCTCGTTGAGTTAATTGCAGAGTTTTCCCTTTTTTCCCTCATTTTTATGGGGATTCACCTAATACATCAGGAAAAAGACTGCAGCCACGCCATGGCTCTAGCTAGTGTTTCTCAAACTTGGCCGCTTTAAGACGAGTGGACTTCAACTCCCAGAATTCCCCAGC